AGGCCTTTAGCAATTTTAGGAGACATTTTTGGTTGTCACAGCTGGGATGGGGGTGCCACTGATATCTAGTGGGTAGAGGCCAGGGATGCCACTAAACATCCCACGGTGCACGAGACAGTAGCCCCCCCCACACACACCCCCAAAGAACTACCAGGCCCTAACATCAGTGTTACTATAGAAGGTAATAATTAGTGCAGAAATTTCCGTTCCTTCCAGTGATCTGTAGAAAAACCAGGCTCCAGTGAGTCACATGAGCAACTCATACTCAGGAGTTCTACTTTATGTGTTTCTTAGAAATGGTAGTAGATGTGTGTGTTTATATGTTTTTGTACAACTAGAAAAAGCTAAGATGGCCATGTGGATACCGCAATAAAATCCCCCAAACGAATGTGAGAATTGTTCAGCTGATTCACTATCCTTCTTTATTTAATGGGAAATGTCATCCTGTCTCAATGAACACTGAAAAGGAGAGGCTGACCAGGGCATCTGTAGATTGGTATCATGGGATCCCTGCAGCCCCCTTCTGATCAGGGTGAAGTTGGCTTTGATCTCCAGAGTGGGTGGTCGGAGGCCTTCAGGAGCACACATGCAGGCTGATGGCCCTGCGTTCAGGGGATGGATGGAAGAGGCAAGAAAGGGAGAGGAGTCCGATAATGTAGGTGACCATGGCCATTGTCAACAGGGAAGGGGAGATTGTGAAGGTTGACGTTCCCGCTACTTTAACATGGGAAGCGTGTGCCCTCAGTTATCATGTGGGTGAGTGTGCCTCAACATGCTGCCCATACACACAGGAAAGTGATGGTCTCAGCAGTGATCGTGCTCTCTTCCCTGGTCTCTCTCTCTCTCTCTCTTTTTTTTAAAGAGAGAGAGAGTGTGAGTGAGTGAGGAGGGGAGGGGTAGAGGGAGAAGGAAAGAGAGAATCCCTTAGCAGGCTCCACACGGGGTTCAGTCTCATGACCGTAGTAAGATCACGACTTGAGCTGAAATCAAGAGTCAGATGCCTTAACTGACTGAGCCACCCAGGCGCCCCTTTCCTGGTCTCTTTTGAGACCAAAGACACGGACCGGCAAGATGGCTGGCCACAGTTAGCCGGCATGGGAAGAGGAGAGTGACAGCACAGCAAGGCTAATGGCCTCCACACCCTGTCCCCTGTCAGTCACCACGCTGCCCGAGCAGCAGTGCCCAAGCACATTACACCTTCAGGAAGAAGAGCCATCCACAAATAGGGCGTTATGATAGTTGTCAGGTGCTTTTCTTGTTCTTTTCTTTCTTTCTTTTTTTTTTTTGCATTAAGAAAGAACAAAGTACAAGAACATAACCTTATTCCTGTTTTTCTCTTCATTCTCCTGTAGCATCACCTCTAGAAATCAATCTCGCAAGGAAAACATTCTCACAAAGTTACCCAGACACGAGGATCACTATACATCATTGAAGAAAGCACTACTGATCGCCAACACTGTAAGATTTTGGAACCCTTCCCTGGTGAAAACCTCATTGTTTCTCAGAATGCGAACACTCAGAACAAGGCCAATAAAAACTGTATATTCATTCATTTATCCAGCCAACAGACATTTTTTGAGCTCCTATTATATGCTAGGAATTATTCTGAGCAGCTGGGGCTATAAGGCCCGACCTCAGGAGTTGGGTGTGTTTGGGGGATCAGATGACATAAAACGTGCTATGCCGCAGTAGGGGAGACGCCAGGGGATGAGAACAGAGTTGTGGCAAGGTGTTTAAGGATGCAGTGACTGCCCATCGTTCGCTGTTTAACGAGTAATCCCAACCTGTTGAACCTTCCCCACTCCAGGCTAGAGTGTGTGGGTTCATAACAACGTGTAACCCATCCGAGGAAAGTTTTCTTAGATCCAAAGAGCCTATTTCCTGGTTTAATTATACTGCAGAGAGGAGGCTAATTCATGAATTTGTAACTTGCTCGAAATATTGCTCCTGTCCCAATTTAGTGTTTATTTTAGAAAGCAGCACTTGGATACTTTTGAAACATGCAACATTTCCCAAGTTTGTTATTTACTAAGTACATTCAATAACTGAATCTAGGAAATCTGGAGGGGTCCAGTGACTTGCTCTGCCTGAGACTCAAGTACAACTGTGTATAGAAGAGGAGGTGGTTGGCCTCAGCGGCAGCCTTCCTATAAAGCAGCTACAGGGCAGCATTCTGGAGAGGAGCCCATGTGGCCTGGAGGTGGACTGCAAAGTTCAGTGGTTTGCTCTCTGTACTGGAGACTCCTCGCCTCTGTCAATCTAGAATGCCATTGCTTAGGGTTTCTGAGCATAGCGTAGACTCAGAGATTTGGGGTTCTGTTTTCTGCAGGGGAGGGGGCATTTTAGCTAGCCCACTGTTCTAGTTATTCTTTCAACCTATATCACGTGATCTCTTCTACTGAATGAACAATAATATTGTGTGCTTAACAATGTGCCAGGTACTGTCTCAAGTGATTTACTTGTCTTCACTCACTTCAGCCTCTCAGCAGCTCTGTGAGGTAGACACTATAATTATCTCCATTTGATCCTTTCATTTTTGCTCTTATTTGCTGAGGAAAGGGAGCGTCAGTAGTAAGTACCCAGCTTGAGGCTCCCAGCTAGTGAGTGGTGGAGCCAGGACACAAACCAGCTACTCCGGAGAGGCCCACTGCTGCCCTGGGCAGAGCTGCCTGGGAGTGTGCTGGCTGGGCCTCCTCTTAGAGATAAATGAAGGCTTTTGTGTGTTTACCCACCTCAGCACCTAGTGTGGTATATTGAAGCAATTTAATTAAAAATAGTGAAATCTCATCTCCGTTAATGGAGTACTATAATCATGCTAACCACTCCAAATGTTGGACTATTTAACAGTCATTGATGTACTGTTCCACAAACAGAACTGATCAACAAACACGTCATGTGGGTGAGGAATGGAGTGCCTGCCCCACGCTGGGCCTGGCTGTGGGCACTTACACTGAACACATAGATGAGTAATGCAAAGGCCCTGCCAATGATGAGCTCACACTCTGGAGTGTTACATAACAGCAGTGACCATCAGATACCTTAGAGTTGCAGAGTGCATGGTTGCCAAGTGGGACTCCCAACCCCCCCACCATGTGTCTTGGTCTTGGGCACATTCTGAGACCTGGAAGGAGGAGAGCAGAGGGAGAGAGCCAGGAGGAGGCAGGCTGCAGAGGACAACAGTAGGAAGCAGGTCCCTCTCCTGCTGTAGAGAGGGGTGTAGAATTATTACAGGAAAGACTGCTTTAGATCTGCCCCAACTCATACATCCCAAGTAGCTGTATGTGCTACCTCTACACATTGCCACCTTCCCTCTGAGTGGACCTAGTCACCTCCATCACTTACATTTAAACCTGATGTGGTTCCCTTTCTATCACCCAGAAACAATTTGTACCCTGCCTGTTCACCCACTCTTTTTCTCAGTATTATTTGTAACTCACATGAATTTCTAAATAGAAAGTCCAGAATAATCTTCCAGAAAATACTAGAATTAATAATAGAATTTAGGTCATTGGATACAAGATCAGTATTCAAAGATCAATATGATTTCTGTAAGTTACAATAAGCAATTAGAAAAAGAATTTTTAAAATATCATTTCTACCAATATCTTTAAAAAAATCAAATGCCTAGAAATATACCTAATAAAAATATGCAAATTCTCTACATTGAAGACTACAAAGCTCACTTTTAGAAATAATAACAATCCTTCACTAACTTTCAGAAACTATAGGAGGAAGGACTGCTTCCCAACTCATTCTCTGAGGCCAATATTACCCTCATACTAAAGCCAAACAAAGGGACCACAAGAAAAGAAAACCAAAGATCAATATCCTTCATGAATATTGTTGCAAAAATTCCCAGCAGAATATTAGTGAACCAAATTCAGCAACATACAAAAAAGATTAAATGCTATGACCAGGTGGGATTTATCCCAGGATTGCAGGTTTGGTTTGACTTCCAAAAAATCAATTAATATAGTATGCAATATTAATAGAATTAAGGACAAAACCACATAATCATCTTGATAGATGCAGAAAAACTATTTGAAAAATCCAGCACTGTTTCATGATAGCAACTTTCAACAAACCAGGAATAGCAGGGAAACTCCTTAAACTGATAAAGCGCATCTATAATGAACCCATAGCTAACAGCTAACCATAGTTGATGGTGAGAGACTGAATACTTTCCCCCAAGATCATGAAAAACAGAACAATGTCAGCTTTTGCTACTTCCATGCAACATTGTACTGAAGTTCTAAACAGTGCAATCCTGAAAGAAAAGAAATAAAAGGCATCCAGATTGGAAAGGAAGAAGTAAAACTGTCTTCATTCACAGACAACATGATATACACACACAAACTTCTACAAATAATAAAGTTCATCAAGGTTGCAGGATATAAGATCAATATACGAAAATCAGTTATATTTCTATAAACTAGCAATGAACAATCTAAAAATGAACTTCAGAAAGCAATTCCATTCACAATAGCATCAAAAAGACTAAAATACCTAGCAATAAATTTAACAAAAATGCCTGACTTGTACACTGAAAATTACAAAACACTGTTAAAAGAAATAAAATGTAAATACATGAAGAGACATTCCATATTCATGGATTGGAAGACTCGGTATTATTAAGATGGCAGTTCTCTCCAAATTGATCTATAAATTTAATGCTGCAAACCCCATTAAAATGCCAACTGGCTTTTTTTGCAGAAATTTAAAAAATTGATCTTAAAATTCATATGGAAATGCAAAGGTTGCTGAGTAGCTAAAACCAATCTTGGAAAAGAAGAATGAAGTTAGAGCACTTAAGCTTCCAGATTTTGAATCTTAGTACAGAGCTACGGTATCAGGACAGTGTGGCACTGGCATGAGGATAGACATATTGATTGATGGAACAGAACTGAGGGTCCAGAAATAAGCCCTCACATTTTTGGTCAGTTCATCTTTTACAAGATCAGCAGGGGGAAAGGATCATCTTTTCAACCAATGGTGCTGAGACAATTGGATATCCATTTGTAAAAAGATGAACTACCTTACCCCATACACAAAAATTCACTAAAAATGGGCCATAAACCTAAATATAAGAGTTAAAATGGCAAAATTCTTAGAAGAAGGCATATGCATAAATCTCTGTGACCTGGGTTAGGCAAGGATTTCTTAGCTATGATGCTAAAAGCATGATCCATAAAGGGGAAAAAAAAAACCATACATTGGACTTCTCAAAATTAAAAATTTGTGCTTCAAAAGGATAAGCCACGCTCTGGGAGGAAATATATGCAAATGATATATAGGGTAAAGGACTTGCACGTAGAATATATAAGAACTCTCAGAACTCAGTAAGAGGAAAACCCAGTGTAAAAAATGGGCAAAATATTTGAATAGACATTTCATCCAAGAAGACATACGAATGGCCAACGAGCACATGAAAAGGTGGTCAACAAATCAGAAGCACACTGAGACACCACTTCCCAACCATGGGATGACGATAATCAACCCACGTAGTCAGTAGTAAGTGTTGACAAGGATGTGGAGATGGAATGCTCCAACACTCTCATGCTGGTGGAGATGTAAAGTGCTACAGCTTCCATTGAAACAACAACATGGTCATTTCTTTAAAATTAAACAGAAATGTACCACGTGACCCAGCAATTCCTCTCGTGGGTAGCTGCCCAAGAGAAGTAAAACCATATGTCCACACAAAGACTTGTGTGGAAATGTTCACATCAATGTTATTCATAATCTCCAAACTGGAAATGATCCAAATGTTTATCCACTTGTGATAAGATAAACAAAATGTGGCATCTCCATACAGTGGGATAATAACAAGGATAAAAAAGATCAAAATACTGATCCATGGTATATCCTGGGTGAACCTAAAAAATGTTATGCTAAGTGATGGAAGCCAGATGCAAAGTTCATACCGATGCATATAGTGTATGATTCTGTTTACCTGAAATACCTCGGACAAAGTGAATACAGAGAGATAGCAAATAGCCAAGTTACCTTCGGTTGAGGAAATGGACACAGGGTTTCTTTTGAGATGATGGAAAGTTCTGGAAGCAGATAGTGGTGAAGGTTGCACAAGCTGTAAATTTATTAAAAATCATAATTTTCCTACTTGGACATTAAAAATTTGATGACCACTCCCAAACCAAAAAGCAAGCAGGCATATATTCTCTAAATTACTTAATTTTCCCTAAGACACCCTTATATCCTTTTCCAATTTTGGACCCCAAAGTAATGACTGGCATTTATAGACTGCTTTATGACTTAGCCCCTTTGTCACATTAATAGTCACAGTGTCTCTCTGTGAGAGAGGTAGGGATTCTTTATTTCCCCTGTTTTTCCAGTAAACAGTATCTTTTCATTTTGATATTTAATATGCTTATTGGTAATTTTTTATTCCAGGGGAAGAATTTGCCTCACAGTGTTTTGCTTATAATACGTTTTCTTTATGCAGCATGGCTGAAATTTTTCTTGCTAAGTAATTGTCCATTTATGTAATTGATGAGGTTGGTGGGAGTGAAAATAAGCATAATTAATATTTTTAGTAAATTGGCAAGTTGTAATTGAATTGCCGGGAAGTTGTGTGCCCTCTGCTACTGAGCCACATAGCCCTCAGGTGGGGTTGGGGCTGGAGGAGCCAGCACTTAGCCTGTCCCGAGGCGGCGGTCAGCCTGTGCCAGCAAGATCAGCCTCTTTCCTCACTTGGGGCCATATCCTGCCCACATCCTCATAGACAACATTGTGGGAATGGCCCCTGGAGAGTTCCAGCATCCCCCCTGCACCCACCCAACACACTGCTCTTGGCTCACAGTGTTATCTAGTGACCACCACCTGAGGGATTCTTGCTTCATCATAATTCTGTTTGGCCAGAGCTCACTCTTTATTCAGTGATGCTTAGTATATATAACGCTTTTCCTTCCTTTTTCCTTTTTAAAAAAAATTCCCTTATATACACTCTCATGCTCAGAAACCTGATGGACGGATAACAGGGGAAGAATTGCGACGTCTCCTAAATTGCATGGTTGTAAAAATCAGTGATTCAGAATTCAAAGAATTGATGCAAACGCTTGACCCTGGGGACACTGGATGGGTCAATGTCTACACGCTTATCGAACTGCTTGAAGAGAACCCTAAGGTGAGTTTTATGATACCTCCATATTTGATTTTCTGTTGACGGCAGGAAACTTAAGTATTCTTAGTGAAATCAGAGGTGGTAGGTGAAATAGTCTTAAATAAAGGACTTCACGTTTTTCAGCTGGGTTGATTTTCATTTTTTAAAAAAGATTTATTTATTTGAGAGAGAGAGAACGCACATGCGTGCATGCACAGGGGGAGGGGCAGAAGGAGAGGGAGAGAGAATCTCAAGCAGCGCGGAGCCTGATGCAGAGCTCAATCTCACGAACCTAAGATCAAGAGCCAAAATCAAGAGTCAAAATCAAGAGTCAGATGCTTAACCAACTGAGCCACCACGTGCCTCTAATTTTCATTTTAATAAGAGTTAAGTTTTTGAGTTGTTCGATTTTAACTTTCAGTGTCAAAATCTTTTTTTTTTTTAAAGATTTTATTTATTTATTTGAGACAGAGAGAATGAGAGAGAGAGAGAGCACATGAGATGGGGGAGGGTCAGA